CCCGTTTTGTATATATATATATATACATATGCACGTACATACATACACTTACATGTTTAACATACCAGTTGGAAAGCTATTGCTTAAATATTTAGGGTTCTTGAGTAGTTGAATACGGTATGCTTGACTAACAAATATTGAATTCGGCATCGCTTGGAGACTAAACCGAGTAGAGGCATGCACGTATGCATTGTGAGCCTTAGTTTACTTTGGGGATAGTAGCTAATGACCACCAGCTGGGCGAGAGATGCATATTTGTCGATATATATATATATACACACCATAAGTACCCTGCATCGCCTAGAAGTACCAGCTCTTGAAAACATAATTCTAGATTCTCTAGATGAAAAAACTTTATGAGAACAACATCTATGCAACACAGCTGCATCACATTAAGCTCCCTCGGGATTTGCACTCACTAGATCGAAAAGCCTCGCTTAAACCCCCGGTACGCAAAAACGCGCAGCCAAAGAAAGCATAATTTCTGCGAAATCCAAAAATTCAATATTTTGGCGGAGATGCCAGCACAAATTTTGGATTGTTGGAATTTAGGATTTTTGGATGTTGGAATCGAAAAACTTCCAACACTCCAAAAGGGGTTCTGACATCTTCACGAAAGTCTTGGATTTTATTTTTTTGGATTGTGCAGGAATGGTTCCATTGGTAGAGCGTGCTACTTTCGAGTGAGCAGTATTTTGGTCTTTCGGTTAAAGACATTCGAAGGGCAAGCTGCAAGGGAGGGAGGGGTTAGGCACATGGTTGGAGTAATATATATATATATATGTATATATAACTGTATATATGTATATATGTATATACGGATTTATGTATTTATGTATATATGTATATATGTATTCATATATGTATATATGTATATAATGTATATAATGTATATAATGTATATAATGTATATAATGTATATAATGTATATAATGTATATAATGTATATAATGTATGTAATGTATGTAATGTATGTAATGTATATAATGTGTATATGTATATATATATATAAATATGTATACATGCATATGTATATATATATGTGTGTATATATAATACATAAACATATGCACATGCACACATGCATTGATTGATTTATTTGAGGAGGGTCTTCCGCATGCATGTCTTGTTTTGAGAGTTGTTGAAGACCGTTTGTTAAGTAGGTGGGATTTGATTGTGTTTGTCGCGGTTCGCTGCAGACCGTCCTGGAGAAGCTTCCAAAGTTCACACCCTGCCGGATGACGACAGTAGTAGCGCGGGGCTTTCTTTCCGAGCTTTCCGACCAGTTCATTCAGTTCACGGTTAGTTGGGGTCAGCCGTTCCGCAAGATTAGAAGGTGCGACCAGAGCGCGAGCAGACACTTCCCAGGTCCTCCTCGTCCTGCTCTGTCCGGTGCGGCATCTAGGTGGGAAGTGCTCCGGAACTAAAGTGAGCTGCGACGCCGGTGGTGCTTGCTTCTCCGTGGTCGCCGTGTGTCCACGGCTTTCGCCCAGCAATCCTGGCTGCAGTTTTCGCGCTGTTGCTGATCATTTGCGGAGTGGGTCTGGTCTGGGCCTTGAGTAAATTGAAGGGGACAGACCAGCGTGCCCAGGGTCAATGCAGAGGGGTGAGCACTCTTATGGTCGCAGCATCCCGAGGTGGTTTCATTTCTGGACAGTTTTGTGCGCCACCCGGAGGGTCGACCAAAAAGCAGCCCTTGTCAGTTGTACCAGTTGGGCCGTTTGCATGCCATTTTTTGGCATGTGAAGCAGTGATATGACAACTAGCGTCCAAAGTGCCAGAGCCGGCTCTTCGATTCGACGAGGACCTCGGTACCTCCGCTCGCCTCATCGTGGCCGCGGCGGGCGACGGCATCCTCTGCATCGTGCAAGGGGAGGTCAGCTTGGACGAGTCATTTCCGGCCCCGGGCGTCGGGGCTTTCGTTATCATCGATGTGGTCGTCGTAGTTCGTAGATTCGAGCCTTTCGCTTGTCTAGAGCCAGTGACCAGAAAAGGTCGACACTCAGGAGGTCAGTGTTTGCATGCGGGATCTGGAGTCTAGGTAGTGGTGCCTGTGTTGAGGTGTGCGCAGGCATTGCCCCAACACTTGCAACTTCGGGTTTTCGGGCTTTCCCGGCCAGGTCCTGAGAGAGGCTGGGGCAGCTGGAGACGTGCTGGCAGCATCTTGGCCGAGCAACAATTTGCCCTCAGTGTGCTGCGGCAGTGGGGATCTGTTCCGTTGGTAGCTTCCTTCCGTTTTCTCGTGAAAGTCCTTGCGACCCGCGCTGGAAGCAGCACCTTCCCCCTCGCACCGGTCTTATTGAAGGCACAGTTTGGCCTCTTTCTTCTGGCTGGCGTGGGTGGCGGGTTCCTGCCTGGGTTGGCCTTCGTGGCGGCACGAAGGCCGCCCGGCCTCTGAGGTGGTGTATAAAAGTTATCGAGTGCTGCCTGTGACTCGGCAGGAAGTTTCCAACAATCTGTCGCAATGCGGCGATTGGATATGCCGCCACCTGGCCTTTGAAGAAACCGCAGATAATGGGCCATGTCAATCTGCGTTCATAGAACACTCCGCCGCCCATTCTCCTGTCATACACTCGAGGCAATGGCTGTCCACTCTGCCGTGCTCCTGATGCAGGCAGAGGGCAGAGCTGCACGAAGTCCCCCAAGTTTTTCAGCCTTTTTCCCAGAGGCCATTGGGACGGAGATGCGCTTTTTCCTCGATGGCGGCGGCTACCTCTTCGACAGCCGGGGGGCCTCGGGGCCGCTGCGCTGCTTCCGGGGAGATTCGCTGCCTTGCCAAGGCCCCCAGTGCCTCTACTCCACCATCGACTCGCCCCTGAGCCTGGCAGGGCCCTCGCAGTCTCTCGCAGTCTGCGAGACTAGCCTTGGAGCTTCGAATTCAGACAGCCGCTCGCGCAAGGTCTTGAACTTCTTGCAGTCTCTTGCAACCGCGGACGAGTGAGCCGAGATCGGGCGCAGGATTCGGCAAGCTCCACGTGAGCCCAGACCCTTGCGAGGTACCAGGGTCCGTCTGGTCCAGCAGCTCCCTGCCCGGAGGACGCTGAGTTTGTCAGCCCGCGTCTTAACTCCCAAGCCGGGGGCTTCGCTTAAGGCCTTCGAAGAATTCACACCCAAGGCAGCGACCCGTCTATCGTCCCGTTGATCCAGATGCCTGCAACCCAGCAGTTCGGCGTGCAGACGACGTGCCTAGGACGCGATGTCGTCGAAGTCGTCGCAAATGATGTGCTTCGCTTGTCCACAGGCGGAGCTGCACGGAAATGCCTCTGATCGCACTGCTTTTCTTCCTCCTCCTTGGTGCGGGGGGCCTGGTATGCATTGAGCTACAGGCTTTGTTCTGACAGGCAGGCCAAACTTTGCAAATGGAGATGAAGGAGTTTCGCGGTTTCTGGACAGGATGTGTTGAAGAGAGTGGGGCATTTTCAGGCGTCCGTGCTTGCACGGAGAGCTTGTATGCTGCCAGATGCTCACTGGCAGTCCTTGTTAACGGTTTTGGCTTCACGACCCGAGGGTTCAGGGTCCAGTGAGTCTAGTGTAAGCTTGATGTGGGATCGGAATCATGTTTGCGCTTTGTTCGAATCAACAGACGCCTGAGTGCACTTTGGACACTGGCCTCTTGTCGCCAGGTCTCTGCATCGCACATCTTCGGGGCTTTTTTTAATGCTCAAGTATTTCGATGTACGATCCCTTGCTCTCTTCGGGATCGACGTGCGAATCTCGCAGCATCTTCGTTGAAGCACGGCAGCGTGGATTTGACGCAAGCAAGATGGAGCCGATTCCGACCAACCAACCGCAGGCAGGTTTTAGCGAGCTGCTTCCAGGGCTTCGTTGGGACGAGCTGAGCAAGTTAAGGCACTGAAGAGTGTTGGACCGAAGTTCCGGGAGCCAGTTCAATTCTATCTGCCCGAAGCACCTATGGCGAGTCAGAAGGAGCAGACCCTGTCAGAAGGCATTGGATCTCTTGCCACAGGCCTCGCGGGTCAAGACCGGCTGCGAGGGCGAGGTCGGGTGGGGATGCTTGGGATTTTCCGTAGACGAACGACTTTCAAGAGCAGGGTGCAGATGCGCGGAGTTCGTGGGGGAGCAGATTGCTCTGATTTCATGCCTTTGTGGTGTCAGGGCACATCGCAAGACATGCGCTCCCTGTTTCAGCGCCCGCTTGCAATCAGCTGACAAGGTCTGTTTTGTGCTCTTGCTTGTAGTTGTCGCGGTGGCGGAGATGCTAGTGGCGGCGGTGGTGGCAGCAATGATCTTCGGATCTACCTCCTCGTTCGCACTGCATGCTCTTTTTTCTCGTGTACCGGCTCATTTCCGATGTTTCGTGTTATTGTCGTCTGCGATAACCTGCACGTCTCTTTCCTTCTTTCCTGTAATCCGTCACCGGGGTTCGTCCTCCTTTGCAGGAGCCCGAGCACCCAGATGCCTCGGAGGCGAGCGCCTGAGTGAGGATGAACAGATGCCTCATAGGCTCCCATGAACGCCTTGTTGGGAGACCATGGTCCGAATCGTCTGTGCTTGCAAAGGCAGTTGCCAGCATGCAGATGTACGTGGCGGTAGGTGTGGCCATGGTAGGCCGGGAAGCTCCTGCTGCTTTAAATCACCCCAGTCTCTCACCCTGTCTCTTGGATCATCTTTGCATTATCTCTCCGCCCGTGTCCCTATGCATAAGACCTAGAGCCTAGCCAGCTCGGATCCCAGCTCCGTTCCTCGGCTCGAGGAGCCGCCATGTTCGGCTTCGATCAGGGAAACTTCGGCAACGTGCAGGCTGGGACGGAATTCTCTTCGCTGCTGCGATGTGTGAAACCCTTGAAAGCAGGCCTTCGAGACGTTTCGCAAGGAGTGGTGCGTCGGCAGGCACCAGCAATTGCATTTGCGTCGTGCCTGCAGTTATTCTGGCTTGCGATTTGACAAGGTACGGCGACGAAGAGTCTTGTAGTGCAGAAGGGCTGGCATCTCAGTATCATCCGCGCAGGCCACCTAGGTCCAGAGCTTGTTGCTGTGCTGAAAGTCCCGTCCCGTCACTCGCAAGAAGGTCTTTGGAAAATGATGCGTGGAATGATGGCTTCGTCACTTGGGGTGCTTCCGCCCTACTGAGTCCAAGTAGCTACGTAGTTTGTCTGCGAGCCGGCACATGCATCCATGCAGGTGCCACGCTCATCACTTTTGGTGCTGCTGCGGGCGCAATGGTTTTGGGACCTACCCTGTGACTTGGATGCAGCTGTGAGATCCGAGACTCCCCTGAAGCCATGCCCATGTGCAGCATCTCTTGTCTCCTGTGCTGAGGACCAACAAGCTGGGCCATGACCTCACCCGGAGAATCTGAGAAATGGTCAAGTGGTCAAATCAGCATCGTTGCTTGATCTAGCAAGCGGCTCCGAGCCACGATGTTTCTTCTCGAGGTCGTCGTCCCTGCATTCAGATCGGTGGCTGCACATGTTGCTTGGATTTTCGATGGGGAAGCGTCCGCGCTCTTTTTGCCTCGCCCCTGGACCCATTCCACGTGCACTTGTCTACGGAGGCTTCTTGGGGTGCCTCATGGCGTCGTACCTTTCGAACAATAGACACTTGGCCAGACGAATTCGTTCCTGCGGTGAGCGGATCGGATGCCATTGATGTAGCCTGACCTCATCCGTTGCCAGAGTCATGAGAGCCAGGGCATCCGTAAGGTGTCTGGATGTTCTTCATCGGGCGCTTCATTACAGGCTCCCCCGGACTTTGCTTGCACTTGCACTGGTGAACCGATTTGTCACTTTGGTTTCCTTCTTTCGTTAAGCTCCAGCATCATAATTGTCTTCAGTGTTCTTCTGCATTGCTAAACCACAACCACCACCACCGCAACGCAACCGCCATAACCACCACAACCGACAAGCCCTACTACTACCTCTGCTACCTCTTCTTCCTCCTCCTCCTCCTGCTCCTGCTCCTCCTGCTGCTGCTGCTGCGGCATGCAACGACACCAACAGCTACGACATGCTACGACGACGACGACGACGACGACGACGACGACTGTTACTGCTACTGCTCCCGCTATCGCTACCACTTACTGCTACCACTACGACAACCATAATTCCTGTGCTTTGGAACTTCGGGATTTCAGGCATGATGTTGCCATCAACAGCCAGATTGACAGGTGTTCTTGTTCCACTGTTGCACTGTTGGGTCAAGGGTGCAAACAGCTGAAGGCTTTGGCGTCGGCGTGAGCTGCTTTGCGCTCCCACTTTACAACGCAGAGACGCCTGGACCAATATTTGCTTGAAGCCCCTTGCAGTTCATCGTGTAGCCTGTGTACTGTGCTCTGCAAATGCACTCCCACTATCTCCCACTCCTACTCCTGCTGCTGCTACTGCTTGAATCGACGCCCGGAAACATCGCCCAAGAGGTGCGTTATCCCTAACCCGTGTGAGGCAGCCGGGGTGGAAGACAAATGTGAGGATGGCAAGCTGTGCGGAGTGATTGATAGAGACTGTTCGGTCACCTTCACATCCTTCACCAGAAAGCCTGCCGGTGCTGACTCTTCTGCGCCCTGAAGGCTTAAGGCTGCTTTTGGAGCATGAGGGTCTGCAACATTGGACTGAGGATTTCGACCCCAGCCGTCCGAGGCGCAGACTGCAACGCAAGATTCTACGGACTCGCGGAGCAGTATGAACTGTGGTAAAAGGTCATGCCAGTCGTCAGTGTGTAGTGACGGTGAACTCTGCCTGCAAGGTGCTACAGGTTCGCTGTTTCAGTTGCTCCCTGGCTCAGGGGGAGTTGAGCGAGTGACAGGCATGTCGTGCTTCCCTTCGCTGCGAGACTGGCAGTGGAACCCTTCCAACATGGGCTGCGACTACCGAGGAACGTAGTGGTTGGTTGCTTCATTTCTTGCATCATCACCATGTTAGACAAGGACAGGGACTTGGCAGTTCTGCGAGGGACCAACACGAAGCCGGGTTTAAACCTAGAACTAGCCAGAACCAGCCCCGACCGAGCACACACCTGTCTTTTCCGACTTGTGCGGAGCTCTCTGCATTCTGTGCGTTTCGTTCCTGGAGATGGCCGTCAGAAGTCAGGCACCACTGCTTCTACGACAATCGTGATTGCTGCGGCTACTGCCACTTCCCATTACACCAACAGCCCTCTCACGGTGGCTGTAATGCGCAGGACTGGTACACGGGTATGCTGCTTCCAGGGCTGGCCGGCGCTGTGCCCTTCGGCTGGAATCGATTCAGCACAGGCATAGACTTGAATCGATTTTGCAGCACAGTCACGGCCCTTTGCAGCAGGCTCACCTTGGGCGGCTTCTTCATTCCCGAGTCTCCACGCTTCGTTTCTCGGCCAAGCTTGCGACCAGTACTGGCAAGTCCTGGGCAAAGGAGGGAGTAGGATCCCAAATGCAACAATCTTGCTTCATAAGTTCTTTGCTAGTAAGCTAGTATAGCTCCTTTCGTTCCAGTACCTGAGTGCATGCCACACCGTCGAAGCCACCTCAAGAAAGGTCGCGTATTTCTTTCAGGTCATGGAGAAGATGTTGCACAAGGATTCCGAGGCCAAGGCCTATGCGGCCGGCACAAGGTGCCTCGTTCTCGGGATTCTGGGATCTTCGAGGCGTGTAGGAACTGTAGGGCATTGTAGGGGTGCCATTTTTGTCTTTTTTTTTGTTTTTCGGTGCTCGTGACCACTCTGTCGGTGAGACTCCAGCAGTATTCCTTGCTCTGGCTTCCGTTTCTCTGCTTGCTTGTCAGGTACTTGAAGCGCATCTCGGGCAGCAGGTAGAGAGAGTTTCTCTTCGAACTTAGACTTAGAAGCCAGGGCATCATCCCGTTAAAAAATCATGAGATGCTGTCGTTTATTCAGTAGAGGTCGCTGGACCTGTTTTGGGGTAATTTCTTGGGCGTCCCTGGATCGGACACACGATTCTTGGCTCTGGTGTGACTCTTTCTGAGGCATCCGCGCTGGCGATGTGACGGCGGAGGCAGATGAGACGCTCTGGCTTACACTGGCTGACATAGCTTTAGCGTAGAGTGGTATCGTGGGATGCGAGGAACCGTTAGACCGCTTGGTGCGAGCCCAAGTGCAGGCCAATGCCAAACGTGGATTGACTTCCAATGGTAACTGTTCGTGACGATGGGTTCGCTGTTTCGCTCCATGCAAAGCAGGATCGATTCGGATGCTTGAGATTGGGGTTCAGAGCTTGGAGGCTTGGAGGAACACAGGGGGCTAAAAGCATGGACCATCCCCGAAGCGCGGAAGCTGTACACCGTGGTCTTAAATTGCCACGGAGTGGTGACCCTCCTCTCAGGATCATGCAGCAGATCAAAGATGAGATGGACATCGAGCACGTCAGCTTCCTGGGGCTGTTTAAAGAGCGTCTCTCAGCTGCAGGAATGTTGTCCTCTTCGCAGGCATTCAAATCAGTGCCCGACCTGAACGGGCAGCTGTTGCCATCCGGGATAACTAAAATTAATCTTGCAGTCTCTTTTATTACGGCATTACCTCTATGGCAAGACCAGTGTCTTGCCGAGTCATGCCTGCAACCGTTCACAGTTGCAGGCAACCTTCGCAAGCGCGTGTTCATTGCCTGCTTCTCGACTGCAAGATGGGGGTGGCCAAACGATTCAAAGATCTCCCGCCTTCGGGTTCCGCAGAAGCGACATGGACTCGAAAGGTGGTTGACATGTCTACTAACCCAGGCTGCCTCGCCATTTGCCAGCAGGCCGCGTCAGTTCGGGGGCAGGGGGAAGGGAGGGAGGGGGGGCAGCAAACCCTAAACCGCAAGCAAGCCCTAAACTTTAAGCCCCAAGCCCTAAACCCTACACCCTAAACTCTTCACTCTAAACCCTAAGCTCTAAACTGTTGCAGGGGTTTTGCGAGGCGTTCAAGAGGCCTTCCGCTCGGTGCCAGGCCACGGGCGTGAACGCCTTCCTTGGCTACGCGGCCACGCTGTTCAAAGAGCAGCTGGGCCAAGGTATGTGAGGGATCAGTTTGCATCGGGTCTCTGAGGCTGAGCCTGGGGAAATTCCTCGGGGCCTACTTGCTAGAATCTGTGGATCAAGACCGAGAGATCCGAATTGAGGGATGGCTCGGCTTCGCAGAACTTGCAATGTGCGAGTGAGTGGAGGCTGCTGTTGACGACCGATGCTTGCCTCGATCACAGAACTGAGGTGCGGCATTGACAGCCCAATCGTGTTCAACTCTATTTTCAACAGCGCTCCTCGGCTGGTCTTAAGCAGCTGGAAGGAGAGCACTTTTAACCGGAGTGATGATCCGCAGCTTGTGAAGGCTTCTGCCTTCCTTGCTGTCCCAACAACGTCTTAGAGGAATTGTCGGGCTCTAGTTATAGCTATATCCTACATGCATGTGTGCACAGTCTTGTAGATCAAACAGATATGAATGCAGACATGCAGACAGACAGAGAGGAGAATCTCTCCTCGTGCCTGGTCATATATTTCTCCTTGTGAGATCATGATCTTCGGCTGCATCGCCGGGCTGCTTCTCGTGGACTCCAAGTACGGCGGCCGGCGCTGTCAGCTGCTGGCGGTCCGAGCCTGGGAGAGTTTCTTGAGGTCAGGCTGAAGGCTTGCAGAAGCGCTTCCACCGGGTTATGCAGGGTTCAGGGTATTTTGAGACTTGGCTCTAGAGTTTTTCGGGTTTGGGATCTTCGGGTTCATCAGCCAAGGGTTTGCGGGGAGTTTCAGCGGCGGTTCTCACGAACACACGTGCCGCGTTTCTTGCTCTAAGCTCAGGGGGCCATAGCCGTAGGCTCTGAGCAGGCCCACAAAATTCAGATTATTTCCTGTACTTTCTAGGGTCCCGAGCTGGAGCTTGGAATCATGCAAGACCCCCACGGCCCAAAGGCTGTGCTAGTTCCTTTAACGATTATGGAGAAAGTCTAAACGAGCGGAAGCTCAAACCAAAGCTTCGTCAGACTTCTCCAAAGTGCCCCGCGAAAATGACAGCGAGCGAGGCCACGGCCATCATGGGCCCTCCCTTGATTTTGGCCGGCCTGGCCCCGCGATTGCAGGGGGAAGTCGGGAAGTCACCGGCGTGACGAAGCGGGTTGGAGTTAGAGGGGGCCATGCGGGGATATTATGTGCCAAGGCACGAGGGTAGAAGTGGGATGTTATGTGCGTGAGCCTGAAGCAACTGACCAGACCCCTGCTGCTGTGAGGCTCTGCAGTTCGACTGGCCAGGTGCTGGGAGGGGTTTTGGGTCGCCAGGAGACGGTTGAAGCATTGGCCCCTTTCTCTCTGAAAAACTGGCTGGAACTGCAGTTCTTTACAGCAGTGGCAGCGCAAATCGGATGCTGTGAAGTCTTTTCTTCATGCTGCTGTTGGGGCTACTAGCAGTACAAATAGGCATCATCACCATGGCCTCCGTCGTGATCTACGGTGTTGGCTTTCAGTTTGCGTGGGGGACCATCCCATGGATCTATCCTGCAGCCACTTTGCAGCAATGAAGATACCACAAGAGCGAGATAATGCAACTGGCAAGACCAATACTCACAACAGTAGCAGCAACGACGAGAGTGAGAATAGTCATCGACAATGAGGAATAACGGCAGTAATTACAAATGCTGACTGATGGTGCTACTGATAATCACCATCGCAGTCTTCTCTGCTTATTCTTCGCCAGGGTCATCATCGCAGTAGTAAGTCACCAGAAGTTAATCAGACAACGACAATGGTGATGATCACCAGAACCAGCACCAGCACAGGGCCCAGCGCCTGCAGCAGCACCAGCACCAGCACCAGCCCCAACCCCAACCCAGCCGGCACCCCGGCACTACCAGCACCAGCACCACCAGCACCAGCACCGGTGCCAGCACCACCAGCACCACCAGCACCGCCAGCACCACCAGCACCACCAGCACCACCAGCACCAGCAGCACAAGCAGCACCACCACCCCCAGCACTCCCAGCACCCAGCACCCCCGGCACTCCCAGCACCACCAGCACCCGCGGCACCCCCAGCACCACCAGCAACAGCCCCAGCAACAGCACCACCACCATCATCATCATCATCATCATATCATGTTCAGTGTAAATGCTGTCTAACATAGAATGCACAAGGATAAGCCGGAATCCGGCTGGTCGGAGGGAGCGCGATGGAACCTGAGACACGGATAAATCGAATGACAGAGAGGTCTTCAATGCCAGGGCTTGCTGCATTCGGGATCTCTGCAATTGGACCCAAGTCCCGAAGACACGCGGTGCAAAGCCGGCTGCAGTCGAGAGGGTGTCGTTGCAGTCGGCATTCAGGAAATCTTCTCCATGGCCGAGAAGGAGTCTCGGTTGGACACAGCTCTTCGATAGGTTATGTTGACAGAGTTTGCTCTGGCGATATCTCTGCATCCCCGAAGCACCACCTGGTGTTCAGGAGTCTGCAGTTTCTCTTGCAATTGGCTTCAACTACATCGCCAATGCTGCCCGGACGGTTAACACTTGGCATGTGAGTCACAGGCTTCGCTGCATCTCTGCACTTTTCAGGAGCTGCCTGCGAGCGTTGTAATCGCTTTTTCCGAAATGAGGCTGCCATTATCTACATCACCCCAGCTCTTATGCTGCATGCCCGCAAGTGTGCACTGGTTATTTCAGAGTGGTGTCTTCGGAGCACTGATTTGCAGACTGCGGATCACTGGCTTCATTTGCTGCTTGCAGGAAATGGTCCACACCCGGGACTCTCCTGGTCTTCGGTGCCCTGAATGTCCTGCAACTTATCAGAAATGTCTTTCGCGCAAAGCAAGATTTACCTGTTCGCGATGCGAAGAGTTTCTGAACAGTGGCAGCTCTCATGTTCGGCAACTGCACGCAGTCTGCGACCTCTGCGAACATGCCATCGCTTTCTAGCAGACACTCTCGATGGTGAGTTGATTTTCCAGACACGCGCTGATTTGCGCACGTGCATTCCTTCTCACATGGCTGCCATGGCTGATCTGCTTGAATTGAGGCTGCCGTTCTAATGAACACATGCACGCACACACACACACACAAACAAGCACGTGGAGCTCAATTGGTTACTACATCGAACACGGCTTTTGCTTCATAAAGCATGACTTCTGCGTTGTTCATTGAGTCTTCTGTCTGCTTGCGTGCGAACGGCGAAGATAGTGCATGGGAAGAGCTCAATGTCTGGCCCAGGAATTATTTCTTCGTTTTCCTCTACATCAAGGTTGGAAAGCATGTTGCCGTTTAGCATGAATGCAATCCGAAGCCAAATATTGTAGCTGGTCGTGGTGGTGGTGGTGGTGGCGGCGTACGAGTACGACTATGAGTACTAGTACTGGTGATGGTACTTGTACCCGTACCAGTACCTGTACCAGTACCTGTACCAGTACCAGTACCAGTACTAGCACTAGTACCAGTGCTTGTGCTAGCACCAGTACTAGCACTAGTACCAGTAGTAGTACTAGTACTAGTACCAGCAGTAGTAGTGCTGTAATTGTGGGAGGAGCAGTCAGGAGGAGGAGGAGGAGGAGTGATAGTTGTAGTGCAGTGGTACTGGCAGTTGCGGTCGCGGTGGAGGTGTCTGTGGCAGCGGCAGAGGCAGTTGTAGTGGCCATGATAGTGGCAGTAGTAGTGATGGTGGTGGTAGTAGCTGTTGCCCTGGTAGCAATTGCCGTCGTCGTCGTCGGGATTAGGTAAATCCGCATGCTTATGCCTACCAGATTAAGACTCTAAAGCCCGAAGATCTCTGAAGCTTGCGATGCAGCCAGGAAACCAAGGGCGTGCCGCTCGAGGAGGCCCGAAAGCAGATCTAAGCTTTTGCCAGCTTGTGTCGCTTCTCAAGATGGCTCTCGTGTCTCAAGGTTTGCAGAAGGCAAGGCTGATCTGAGTAAGCCTCTTCCCATTTGCTTCTGACTGGGGGCCTGTGTCGTGCTTCTTTTGGGAGTTTGAGGCTTCAAGGACTGAGCCTTCGAGCTTTACTATTATTTCAACGCTTGTACCGGAATGCTACCAATGGAGAAACCAGCACGCACAGTAGCAACGCGAGCACTAATTACTAATGCCAATGCTGTTGCTCCTGTTCCCACTCCTGCTCCTGCCCCTGCCCCTGCTCCTGCTGCTGCTGCTGCTGCTGCTGCCACTCTTACTGCTGCGCTACTAGTAGTTTCTACTTCTAGTTTTGCTACTACGACGACGACACAGTACCTTTAGTGCTACTACTAGTAGTAGTACTACTACTAGTTCTACTAGTACTACCAGTACTACTAGTAGTCCTCCTTGTATCACTAGTACTACTAGTGCTGCCAGTGTAATTCTGCATACAGCAACTGCGACGACAACAGCAACAACTACTACCACCACCACTGCTGCTGCTACTACTACTACTACTACTACGACGACGACGACGACGACTACTGCTACCACTACCACTACCACTACCTCTACCGCTACCGCTAAAGCTACGGCTACCGCTACCGCTACCGCTACCACTACCACTGCCACTACCACTACCGCTACCGCTACCGCTACCGCTACCACTACCGCTACCGTTACCACGACCACCACCACCACCACCACCACCACCACCACTACCGTTACCACTAGCACTGGCACTACCACTAGCGCTACCACTAGCACTACCACTACCACTACCACTACCATTACTACTACTGCTACTACTACTACTACTACTACCACCACCACGACGACGACGACGACGACTACTACTACTACTACGACGACTATTACTATTGCTATTACTTTCACTAGTACTAGTACTAGTAATGGTACTGGTACTGGTACTGATACTGGTACTAGTACTAGTACTGTACTAGTACTAGTACTATTACGATATCAATTACTATGACGACTACTACTACTTCTGCTACAACTTCTACTACTAGCTGCTGCTGCTACTGCTACTGCTTTTGCTACTGGTACTAGTACTAGCACCAGCGCTGGGGCTCGTGCCAGTGCCAAAGCTAGTGCCAGTGCCCGTGCTGGTAGTTGTAGTAGTAGCAGTAGTAGCAGTAGCAGTAGCAGTAGCAGTAGCAGTAGCAGTAGCAGTAGCAGTAGCCGTAGCAGTAGCAGTCGCAGTAGCAGT